TAGTTGAGCTATTAAACTTTATTTTCGGATGGTATTTAATTTCATTACTGGTTATAAAAGTTCTAACCCACATTATTTAGTACTAAAGTATTCTGTATTCGTTTAGATATTTAGCGAATATTTTATTATATCTGACTTGCTACATATTGCCTTATTACCAAGAGACTTATATGCAGATAATAGTATACTTGCTATACTTAATGATCTATTAGAGGGAATAAACAAACGAGTAGCGCCAGCAATAAATCAGTCGAATAAATATTTTTTTAATACATCTTCCAGTCACTCATTATCTTGCATTACACTCATACAGAATCTGTGGTTTAACGTTAACGCCAAATCAAAGATGAAACAACGTTTTCTGAGAGCGTAATATGAGTCGATTTCAAAGACCTACCTGGGCCTTGGCATTCGTGTGAGCAATTCCATTGTACGCATCATCATTTTTAGAGTAGGACCGTGGACGTAGTACATTCCAAGACGTTTCGCCGGCAGCGTAGTAGGCATCGTCAGTCAATCTCGCCATTCGTAGCACCATATTACAACTCGTCAAATAGCCAAGTAAAGCCCATCCTTTGACCAAACGTGTGCTAAACAGTTGTGGTATCTACGGATCCGGCAAAATGTCTGTGAATGTATCACGTCCACGGTCTTACTCTGTAAATGATGATGCATACAATAAACTCCGGACTAGGTGCGTTCCTCTAAATCTTCCTACCAATATGACCAAGTTGCGGAAACAAGGTCAAACAACTTCTATACAACGAAAGGAGACTGCGACCACACAAAAGACCACACCATCTTGGTCTTCATACTTTCGATTAAAAAGCGCATATTTTACCTAACAATATTTTGAAATATTTAAACCTACGAAAAATTGTTTAAATGTCACTGAGGAAGGAAGTAAACCACCTGAATTTTCAAGATATGTGAATAATTAAATAAACTGTTTGAAACAATGAAAGATATTATAAAGAATGAATGACCATTTGATGAGATTCAAGTAGAGTTTTGGTTGGTTTGTTTCAAATCTCCCAGTACGTTTAAGTAATTAGTAAAAAAATGGATATTTTTTGCTAAAGACTTTAAGTCATATCCAGTTTTTCAGTTGTAGCTCAGGTAGCTCCAATCGTAATACAAACGTCATGTGCTAGCCAAAATATACTGGAGTTTCTCTCTTTCCGATGAGGTTGAATAATATTTATCAGAAATTGAGCAATCGTTCCACTCACTCATTATCTTGCTCTTACACTCATCCAGAATCTGTGGTTTAACGTTAACGCCAAATCAAAGATGAAACACCGTTTTCTGAGAGCGTAATATGAGTCGATTTCAAAGACGTACCTCAAAAACGCTGCTACCTTGGCCTTCGTGTGAGCAATGCCAGCGCCCCTCCAGACGCCGATCACGTTGATCAATTCTCAGCGTGATCTTGATTTGCTCAACTGAGGCGCCGTCGGGTAGCGCCGCTCCATCAGCCGGTCTGGTCACGGAGCGCGCACAGCTCAGAGTTTCCGGTCCTGGTATGCAGGTACCGATGCGGTCTTTGGGAGTGTCTAGGGTGGAATTCTTCATGGCCGACTCGATGGCAGCCTCGGGGCCACTTGGACAAATGGGCGCCTGCGGTCGGCAGTCCTCGAGGCATGGCGTAGTCAGTTGGGGGCAAGCGAAGAAAACTCGCAAGTCAGCGTGCCTACGCGTCACCGTACAGGTCACTTCGCGCCAGTTGGCATCCAGCATCCGACTACTGAGGATGGGCAGAGGACCAACAGCTGCCGGCTCAGGCCGGTAGGAGCGCCCCCTAGACGGCCGCAGTTGAGCCGAGCCTAGGTCAGATTGAGGGTAAAAAGCGGCGCGTACTGGCCGGGCGCGCTGTACTCTGTTGTACAGATGGAGTGAAGAGGCTGAAAAAGTTAGCAATTGTGGGGCTTAGCGATAATATGGGCCGTGTGAGTGGAAGATGGTGAACCGCGCTTGGTAGGAAGCATATTTGCAGATGTATGGGAAGAGAAAATGTAAAAGTGGAGCATTTTTTTGCGGGAGCTGTGTAGATGCAATTAAGTAAATGCACTAACAGGAGGTCAGATGGATAAATGTTTCATTTTTCTTCCTTTGTTTGGCAATGGTTGGTAAGCTGCTTTCCAGAAAGATTTTATATGGATGGAGTCATTTAAGAAGTAAAGTCTAAAATATGAAGAAATATGTTTTGTGGTAATGTGTTTTTCCAGAGGGAACTGTATACCAAGAGGTCAAATGTCCGACACAATCTGCCCAAATACCTGAAATTATGTAAGGCAAAGATGGTGAGCTGGAAAAGTAGTACGCCTAAATTGGAAAATGTGTCTAGGTTGGGGGGTTTTAGGGTTTTTATAGAAGTGGGTGTTTCTTGGTGTCCAGATGCATGAATAGAAATTATCTGGAAAAGAGCGATACTTTGGGGAATAGTTTAAAATTCGGTGATTTTGTAATTCTGAAATGTGCACAAAAGACGCTGAATTCTAATTTTTTAGAGGAGGTTTATCTATGAGGGCATATTTTCTCATAGCTATCATTTCTGTTTAGACAAATGGGGTTTCTTTAAAATATTTTGGACTAAATTAAGTCTGGTTAACTATTAATGATCAGCTATCTTGAACATTCCTATTGAGTTATAAGCTATCATACAATATGACAAAAATACCCGATAGCATAAAATAAATTTCAAATATGACACCTACTCAATTTTCTCATTATTATTAATTCCCGCCATATTATAATGATTCAATTATATTCAAAAGCAAGGAGAAAATATGTAGCACTAAAACATAAGCAGCCAGTTATGTTTCTTAATGACTAAAAAGTGTAGACAAAATGTGTGTTTCGAAACCATTAGTAGATTTTTTTATACTAACTATCCTCACCTTAGGCCGCCTAAGGGGATGGAAGACTAAATCATTTATATAGAATGATATACTAATCATTTTAAAGCCAATTCACCATGCATGTATGAATGCTGTCAAGTATTACAACAAATACATTTTCTCTTACAAACTTTTATCCCCTTATGAATGTAAATGGCTCACCTTGGAAGTGGCATCATCCCCGTGACTATTTGACATTCTTGGTGCTTGGCGGAAAAGTAATGCTTCTCATTAACATGCACTACCAGATTTTCAGTTTTCATTGGGTGGGTTAATGAAGTTCATGGGTGTTCGAAACTACACCCATGTAGGACAAGAAGATTTTTTTGATGCGTTCTACTCATTTTATGTAGGAATCTGAACTGCCAGGTCATCCATTACCTTAAGCGTTCCAAGGCGACTCAAACTCTCGTAAGAATAGTATGGAAAAATAAGACTGTCTTTCTGAACTGATTCTATTTTTAAACAACTTGGAATTTGTGTTAGATAATAAAACTATAGATACAATTTTATTGAATATAACCGGAGTTAAAAGTTATGCTTTACAAACAATTACCCTAAATTTGAAGAATGAGCGTTCTGCAAGAATGCCGCCATGGTTACCGGGAACGCAAAGGTCCCAGTTTCTGGAACTAAGAAGAGACGTTAGAGATAAGGAAGCTCTGGTTCTCCTTATATGTTAAGGCAATTTTGAGCTTTCGAAATATTTAACAGCTTTAGTGTTAAACACAGTAAAGGAACACTATGAACCATGCACCGATCCAGACATACTTCTGGAATACTTCGCTCCATTGTCTAGAATTGACCAGTTGCAAGTTTTCGGTTATTTTTTATTGATCTTAATCTGGAGTGCTTCGATAAAAGTGAATGTCAAGTAAAAGAATGCTGAAAGCACTTCAATGGGCGTAATATCTGGCACATATCTAGATTCAATAATGCTTCAACTATTCGAAAGTGTGCTGATATAAGTCAATTATTTAAACACTCTGGATAAATTAAATTCTTTATGGAAAAATCTCCTTGCTGTCTAGGCACTGACAATCTTACAAAAGACAAACATGCGGATTTATAACACTATTTA